ATGTAGGAGTGAATACATCAGCGTGGTTATCGACGATTTTGAGTTATGCGAAAACAACTGTCTGAAAATATTGGTTGTGAGAAATCCGAGGACTGCAGTCAGATAGTATTCATCCCCTACTTGTCTAAACACGCCAGTCAGAGATTTCATAGATTGACGCCGTAGATTCTTCCGACCACCTGAAATTCAATCTCTCCCAACTTAATCCTAGGTCAGCTAACATTGGTCGTCGAGAGAGAGAGAGAGGGATGGTGAATCGGTATTATAGGCGTAGAACATGCAACCAACTCGGTCGATGCAGCTTCGCAGGCTGATCGATCGACTTCCCCTCCTTACCTAACACTCTACGCCTAACATCAGAACTACTCAGCACATTATACCACTTGAGACGGGAGATAGAACTCACACATCTATGGTCGACAACACCTAACCAGCCTCTTCCCTTCTCTTCTCTTCTCCTCATATCCTTATCTCGATTTTCAATGGCCGCGTCTCACAGGCACAAAGAAGGAGAGAACGAAATTCTAGTCAGTACACACGTGCTTTCTTCGATAGCCGGATATCACGGATATCTAGGCGAGAGAGGATGTAGGTTGGCGAAGGCCAGAGGAGCCTTTTCTATGAGTGGTGAGATTTCGTCAGAAATCAGTCAGTGAGTGAATCAGTCAGTGCGTGAGGGTTGATGCAACTTGACAAATTAGTGAAGTGGTCAGTCAACAGGCTGAACCACTTCACTGTCTATCTCTAAACTAGGAGTCGGTGCAGACCACTCCTGAAACATCATCTCACATTTCACAGAGGCGAGTCTCACCACGAACACACGAAGATTTCTGCTCAACGTGTTCACAAGAGAAACTAGCTAGGATGAATGCAGATGGACGAGTTAACTAGGAAGAATAGTATAAAGATTAGTGAGTGTTTACACAATGTAGGAGTGAATACATCAGCGTGGTTATCGACGATTTTGAGTTATGCGAAAACAACTGTCTGAAAATATTGGTTGTGAGAAATCCGAGGACTGCAGTCAGATAGTATTCATCCCCTACTTGTCTAAACACGCCAGTCAGAGATTTCATAGATTGACGCCGTAGATTCTTCCGACCACCTGAAATTCAATCTCTCCCAACTTAATCCTAGGTCAGCTAACATTGGTCGTCGAGAGAGAGAGAGAGGGATGGTGAATCGGTATTATAGGCGTAGAACATGCAACCAACTCGGTCGATGCAGCTTCGCAGGCTGATCGATCGACTTCCCCTCCTTACCTAACACTCTACGCCTAACATCAGAACTACTCAGCACATTATACCACTTGAGACGGGAGATAGAACTCACACATCTATGGTCGACAACACCTAACCAGCCTCTTCCCTTCTCTCCTCTTCTCTGCTCCTCATATCCTTATCTCGATTTTCAATGGCCGTGTCTCACAGGCACAAAGAAGGAGAGAACGAAATTCTAGTCAGTACACACGTGCTTTCTTCGATAGCCGGATATCACGGATATCTAGGCGAGAGAGGATGTAGGTTGGCGAAGGCCAGAGGAGCCTTTTCTATGAGTGGTGAGATTTCGTCAGAAATCAGTCAGTGAGTGAATCAGTCAGTGCGTGAGGGTTGATGCAACTTGACAAATTAGTGAAGTGGTCAGTCAACAGGCTGAACCACTTCACTGTCTATCTCTAAACTAGGAGTCGGTGCAGACCACTCCTGAAACATCATCTCACATTTCACAGAGGCGAGTCTCACCACGAACACACGAAGATTTCTGCTCAACGTGTTCACAAGAGAAACTAGCTAGGATGAATGCAGATGGACGAGTTAACTAGGAAGAATAGTATAAAGATTAGTGAGTGTTTACACAATGTAGGAGTGAATACATCAGCGTGGTTATCGACGATTTTGAGTTATGCGAAAACAACTGTCTGAAAATATCGGTTGTGAGAAATCCGAGGACTGCAGTCAGATAGTATTCATCCCCTACTTGTCTAAACACGCCAGTCAGAGATTTCATAGATTGACGCCGTAGATTCTTCCGACCACCTGAAATTCAATCTCTCCCAACTTAATCCTAGGTCAGCTAACATTGGTCGTCGAGAGAGAGAGAGGGATGGTGAATCGGTATTATAGGCGTAGAACATGCAACCAACTCGGTCGATGCAGCTTCGCAGGCTGATCGATCGACTTCCCCTCCTTACCTAACACTCTACGCCTAACATCAGAACTACTCAGCACATTATACCACTTGAGACGGGAGATAGAACTCACACACCTATGGTCGACAACACCTAACCAGCCTCTTCCCTTCTCTCTCTTCTCTCCTCTTCTCTGCTCCTCATATCCTTATCTCGATTTTCAATGGCCGTGTCTCACAGGCACAAAGAAGGAGAGAACGAAATTCTAGTCAGTACACACGTGCTTTCTTCGATAGCCGGATATCACGGATATCTAGGCGAGAGAGGATGTAGGTTGGCGAAGGCCAGAGGAGCCTTTTCTATGAGTGGTGAGATTTCGTCAGAAATCAGTCAGTGAGTGAATCAGTCAGTGCGTGAGGGTTGATGCAACTTGACAAATTAGTGAAGTGGTCAGTCAACAGGCTGAACCACTTCACTGTCTATCTCTAAACTAGGAGTCGGTGCAGACCACTCCTGAAACATCATCTCACATTTCACAGAGGCGAGTCTCACCACGAACACACGAAGATTTCTGCTCAACGTGTTCACAAGAGAAACTAGCTAGGATGAATGCAGATGGACGAGTTAACTAGGAAGAATAGTATAAAGATTAGTGAGTGTTTACACAATGTAGGAGTGAATACATCAGCGTGGTTATCGACGATTTTGAGTTATGCGAAAACAACTGTCTGAAAATATCGGTTGTGAGAAATCCGAGGACTGCAGTCAGATAGTATTCATCCCCTACTTGTCTAAACACGCCAGTCAGAGATTTCATAGATTGACGCCGTAGATTCTTCCGACCACCTGAAATTCAATCTCTCCCAACTTAATCCTAGGTCAGCTAACATTGGTCGTCGAGAGAGAGAGAGGGATGGTGAATCGGTATTATAGGCGTAGAACATGCAACCAACTCGGTCGATGCAGCTTCGCAGGCTGATCGATCGACTTCCCCTCCTTACCTAACACTCTACGCCTAACATCAGAACTACTCAGCACATTATACCACTTGAGACGGGAGATAGAACTCACACACCTATGGTCGACAACACCTAACCAGCCTCTTCCCTTCTCTCCTCTTCTCTTCTCCTCATATCCTTATCTCGATTTTCAATGGCCGTGTCTCACAGGCACAAAGAAGGAGAGAACGAAATTCTAGTCAGTACACACGTGCTTTCTTCGATAGCCGGATATCACGGATATCTAGGCGAGAGAGGATGTAGGTTGGCGAAGGCCAGAGGAGCCTTTTCTATGAGTGGTGAGATTTCGTCAGAAATCAGTCAGTGAGTGAATCAGTCAGTGCGTGAGGGTTGATGCAACTTGACAAATTAGTGAAGTGGTCAGTCAACAGGCTGGTTTGTTTAATTTTGAATAAAACTATTAACTTGTATTATTCCACTTGTTAATAATTGAAGGGAGACACACCCACAATTAGTTTCGTTCTATTCCATTTAGTGTGACTGCCTTTTGTTTAACATTTAATATAATTGACAAGTAATGAATGACACAGTTTGAGGTGATATTTCGTCATAGCTACCTAAGCAAATGAAGATATTCATACCATATATGAAATGTATTTATATATACTACTTTCTGAATGATATGAGTAGTTGGATACGATACACGTCAACCAGTATTACCTGCTGCTCAAACTGAAGTGATTTAAGCACTGGACAGCCGTTTCGCTCTCTTTGAGTCGATCTCGTCACCGATGTTGGCGGCCTAACTCAGTTCAAAACTGATAATATAGAAGCAAAAAGAATTTCCAAATCATCATTTGAGAACTACAGATATTTTGGTCTGAGTATTTTTGGTTTTCACAACCAAGTGTATGATTACTTCTCAGTTCGAGTTGTAAAAGGTGAACTTTTTCTCGTGTTCCTTGTGTTTCTGATGAATAAGGCTATTAACTATTTGAAGAAGTTTCAATATCGGTGATGGGGGATTTTCAGTCTCACCACCACCACCAGCCAGCCCCGTTAGCCTTCTCCCTTCTTCCAAGGTTCAAGAGTTCATTTTTGTTGATCAGAAATTAAGTCCGCAACTACCACTTAAATGTCTCAAGAATATGTCTAGCACTGAATGACAAATGTACAATTTCAACTGATAACAGAAAAAAAAAAAGCCAAACACTATTTTACTATGTCACGCCATTTTTTACTTTATATCTCACCGATATAAGACAAAGGAGAAGCATAGAATATTTAGCACACAACTACAATAAATTGTATTCATGTGAATTAAATATAAACAGTTCTATGCCAGGGATGATATTGCTTCCCATCTTTTCTTCTGCAACAGAATGAATATCTAAATTATTGCGAACGAAAATATATCCAAAAAAATCGAAATGAAAATTGCTGGAAAAGAATCAAAAAAAAAGGTACCAAGAGCTAAACTGATTTTGAAACTTGAGTCACAGTTACCTACTTTTCTTCTTCTTCTTCTTCTTCACTATTAGTAGTCTGCCATCAGTGATGGAGAAAATGTTTATTTGTTAGTTTCACTTGATTGAATGAATGTGAATGATTAGCATCAACGATGGATGGTCGAAAGAACAACCGAATGTGCAGAGAGTGAATGACAGATAATAAGGACAGTAGAATGTAGGATATGTACAAACGAAAGTGGTGCACACGCACGGACACGGACACACACACAAATTGATAGTCTTCACAGTTTAATGAGAGAATGAAAAGTAAAAGGATATGGTAACAGGAGGAAATATAAACACATACAATACAGCGGGTAGGTGAACACAGTGTGATTCCTTTTATGCAAATGATACGGCAATTAAGAATCCACCACCGAATGATCCAAAGAATACACGATTTTCCTCGAGTGCTTTAATAATCTACAATAAGATAAGAAGAAATTGAGCTTTTTTATCATCATATATATATATATATATATATATATATATATATATATATATTGAAGGCAGATGAAATGGCGTACGAAAATTGAGCAAAACTAACTAGTAGTGTTATTTGGTTAGAGATGACTGCTGCTGGTTGTAGAATTCAGGATGAAAATATCTTTCTGTTTAGGTCTCGTGTCCCCACCCCACCACCACGACCATCCATCTCCAGTTAGTGATGGTGAGTCAGTTTCAGTGGTAACACCATCACTTACTTACTCACTCACTCACTAGGGAAGCAGGTGCATCTACCTGCGACCAGTCTCATATAGAACGAAATACGCATCATGAATGTCTGTCCGTCTATTAGCAGTCAAAAACCGGACATCAATCGAAGTATCCGTGTTAGTAGCTGACATGTCAAGCACAGAGCTTTCGTCCAATGAAAATCAATGGGAAAGTTAAATTAACTTGAAAAGAACTAAGAACATGGTTAAAATTATTCCGATATATGATATTTCTGGGCACAGGATATTTTTAAGGTCTAACTAGTGAAATATTTCTGATTCGGAAATTTCTTTAGGAAACACTTTATTTTGAGATTGGACGCCACCATCATCACTTCTTAACATGATAGCCAATATTTCCCATTCATAAAGTGATGAATTTCACATAAACAACACAGTCTGAATTGACCTGGTTTATGAGATAGAGGCTCGGTTTATAAAACCAGTTAGTAGTTAAAAATTAACCACAAAAGATCTTACATCGCATAGATAAGAATCAGTCACAAAGAAGTGAGGACAATATATTTCCCGCTAAGAAACAGTGTCTTACTTTCATTTACCTCTTCATTTCCTTCCTTGACATTCCAAATAGAACGTAGAGCTTAAAAGTTTCAGTATCCATGGTCTTCTTCTTAAACGGTAAGGTTTCTAGCTCGACACCAAACCTTACCTCTTTCCCAGGCTTTTTACTGGCAGGGCAAGGTTTAACAGTGAGTCAGCCGAGCTTCAAGCCCGAACCTGGTGAGCATTTTGTCATTGAACCACCGTTGCACATTTTATGGATATGCCGGAGTGTAATAGATGTGGTTCATTATGTCTTAAGCACCAGTCAACCAGAGATCCTAGGCTAGAATCCTACTCGACCTGCTTCAATCTGAGAAACTGGATTGCAGTAGCACCAGCCTTTGTTTACAATACTATCAAGGAACTGTTACCTAACAATCACTTGCACCTCCGTACAGTTGGCGGTGAGCCACATTGATTATTTATTGGCTGGTTAAACTATCTGGTTGCCCAGACCTTCACAGGTGGGGCAGGGTTCAAACCCGTGACCCATTGGTTGGTAGTTGGGGGTAAAAACCATTGGACCAAAACTCCGTGATAAATATGTACCACGGCAACTGAATCCTAACAACCAGGCTGCATTTACATACAACATCCGGCAGAGCCCAATGTATTAAATTATTATTTAAGCTAACCTACAGCAAAAATAATGCAATTTAATAGCCAACCACATATGCTGGTTTATATACTACAATATAAACTGAATTAATAATTACTTATTAATCAGTAATGCTGACTTTCAGATTTCCAAAATTCTCTGAGCCTGATACGAAGTTTACGTTTGATAATCAAGTAGTTGTCGCCTGGGCTTTTCAGTCATGTGACAACAGTGCTCTCTTCCTTATTCTTTCAAGTATTTCAGGGTGAAATGCAATTTCTACCGCGTGAGCAATCAGGAAGTAGTAACCACCCACGCCCAACAAGCTTACAATCAGTCAGAATTACCAAGGGCCGAAACGTTATGTGTGTGGACAACGGCATTTCATTTAAAAACCGGAATCTTCAAAAAACAGTAAGAAACATTCACTAACTACAACACATTAGGTATATATAAATACATCATGGTGGCTGAACCACTACATTCTTATAACAACAAAAGACATATGTGTATATTACAACATAATTCATATGATTATAATTTTTTTTAAATTAGGACGTGAATGAAGTCACGCAGTCACACACACACACACACATACACAAAGAGATATGCATACATAAGCAATGAAAATGCTATGCATAAAATATAGTGATGATGAACTAGAAGTAGACCGTAAGTCTGATATTAGCCCAGCTGAAAAACACGTGCAAAATTAAGTGCGTCTAAATCAAAACTATATTCTATGGGAAAATATATGACAATGAACAATGACATTTATGGGAACCAATAAATGATCATAAAAGAGTAAAACTGCAAGACAACCTTTTTGATTATCATTATTGTAATTGGTATTTTTGTATTTGATGGTCCAACTGTGAAGCTTTCATACCGCTCTAGGTGTCTCTTTCTAGGTATGCTCAGATTGAATGTGATAATCGTCTCATGTGATGAATTTACCCTCTTATTCACTAAATCACAGTGTACATAGCTGTACTGCATTATTTATTATTATTATTTAATAACGAACGTATTTCACACATACTGACTGAGTTTTTAGTGTGCAACTTTCCATGAACGTTCAGCAGTCCAACTGGCCACATTTTACATAAAGTGCATAAAAAGGTAGAGAGAAAACAAAAGGAAAGGAACTGTAATAAACAGAAATGTACGGGAGAGAGTAATGAGTATTTAACGAGTTTCGAACGAATGTATCTTCATCATTCAAGATGGTTTTGAATCATATATCACCGACTGTTGAAATCATTGGTTCTCAACATCTCGAGGACCCCGAGCACGCAGTCGACACCTTTTGACGTGGGTTACTCAAGCCAATAGTCAAAGGTTTGATTGACTATTACTAAAAATTTTCCAACGTAATCCTGAGTCAGCTAACATCGCTTGACGAGGAAGGTGATAGGTTAGCATGCATAACACGTGTCCTGGCCATCTCAACAGATACAGCCTTACGACCTCATCGATCGACTTTCTTTACTCCTTACCTAACACTCTCCATGCATAACCTTAGTATGATATTCAATCAAGAGGTCTCGACTAAAACACTTTAAATTAGATAGTTTTTTTTATTTTTGATTACAGCTTGATTCCATACTGTATTTTTGGTACAAGTATGGAATTTCGGTAGCCCAAATTTCGCAGGCCGACCATAGATATCAGGTGTGCGTCGGCGTGGGATCGAACCCCGGAGCATGTGCATGGTCGGCGAGAGTCCTAACCACTGTGTCACCGACGCACATTGATTATTGTCTAGCGATCAGTTTGCTTAGTCGGTATGCACTGTAATATAACACGTTTAACAGCAGACAAAATGTATCAACTTCTACTGAAACCGTTTTGTTTTTATTCCTTTACGTTCCCAGTGGAACACACAGGGCTTCAGGCTGGCTAGAGCTTTGAAATTTCGGTAGCAGTTGTATTTATTTTTACGGGGTGGGGGGGGGTTGCTATCTTCATGCCCAACCTCTCCTCTTTACCAGTCTTGTTACTGGCTTAACGAGGTAAAGGAGTGAATTGGCTCGGGGATCGAAACACGAACCACCTGCATGGTTGACGAGCATCGTACCACTGTGCCACCGACGGACGCTTACTGAAACTATATTTAGTGAGAATTTAGTTATTTTGGAAGAACATAACTATTGTATGATAACTGATGATCTTAACAACCAGCCAGGTAGAATTAAGCAGTTACGGTCTCAAAACTGAGATTCATTGGTTGAAAGTTTAGTGTTGCTTAGGTGAATGAGCCAGCACATTACCACTAATACTGTATTCCTTGGAAGTGAACAGCGCTAAATTCTATCGTGTTAAAATACTATTTTTAATAATAAAGTTCAAATAGAGTTAACATTTCAGAAGAAATTTCTTTGAAAATAAGTCAATACACTGCATTAACTTCTTCACTAAGTATCTGTAATGATTCATGGATAATCCCCATCCAGGCATTAATGTAAACAAAACACGTAGATCAACGAAGAGTCTCTTTTCAGCGGTGAATTCATTTTCTTAGCTGTACAATCGAAAATATATATTGGATATTTTGTATGTATGTGTGCATTAAGTTTATCAAACAAAAATAGACAATTGGTTATGCTTATTTTAACTAAACAGGTGAAGATTGGTAATTGGAGTTACGTAATACAAAATCAATCAGTCAAGAAAATTAGGTATTAATGAAATTAGGATAGTAACAAAGGTGATGAGTTGTCACAAACAGTTGTTAAAAGAAGTTATGTAATAATATGAATAATTTGATGAGTGAGTTTTACTCACCATGCACATAGAAACAAAGTTTGCGGCAACTCATCATCTTTGTTACTACCCTAATTTCATTAATACCTAATTTTCTTGACTGATTGATTTTGAATTACATAACTCCAATTACCAATCTTCTTGACCTGTTTAGTTAAAATAACCCCATATTAGTTACATTAACCATAACCAATTGTCTATTTTAGTTTGACAAAGTTAATGTACATACATACAAAATATCCCATATATATTTTCGATTGTACAGGTAAGAAATGAATTCGCCGCTGAAAAAAGAGACTCTTCACTGAACTACGTGTGGTTTGTTTTATTTCTGCAATGAATCTAAAACCATTTGATTATTTTTAACCATATCGACCGTATAATGTGTCTTCTTTTTCTAAGCTAATAAACTGCTCAATATCGACTGACTAATATGTTTCTGTTTGAAAACTTATCACATTTATCTATTTCCAGTTCATGACTTCAGTTGACTACAGAGAAAAAAGCGTCAGATTCAAAGCTTAAAGTAATAACTACATTGAAACTCATTTGAAGTCACTTCTTCAACACTTGTCTATGCAGCACCGTCATAACTGTAGGCAGCAAAGATGAGAATATGATAAGCAGAATCAGGAAAGCAAGACAAACCTTCACTGACTTGAAATCAGTGTGGAAATCTGCTGGAATCATACATTAAGAAAAAGATTCGGATTTTAAATGTGTCACTATAAAATTCTCAGACTTGGTGAGCACCTCATCGAAAGTATTTTTAACAGGCAACAGGACTTCATCAACAGCTGCCTTCACTTGCTATTGAAAATCAGATGGCCGCCGGCCAGAAAGGATTAGCGACAACGAATCAACCAAAGACATATTATTATCCAACAAATATGCCGACATAAATGAAGGTGGGCCGGACACATACCAAGGAGACTGTTGAGTGACATTACGCACCAAGCCACTGCTTGAGTGGAATCCGAGTCAGAAATGAGTTAGGCGTCCAAGATTGTCATGAATGGGATGAAGGCTTACAGGCATTCATAAGGCCAACTGAAACGAACCTCGGAGAAGAGAAGAGAATGGATATGTGATATTGAAATCCTATTTTCCACTCAAAACTCAATGAAATAATAATATTAGTACATGTGTAAAACTTGGGCACTGTGGTGGTGGTAGTAAGTAATTCCACATTAGTTTGTTTATTAGATATATCACACAGTGAGTGAAACAGTATTGCTATTCACTGGATGACGCGGTTTCCAACAAAATTTATTGTAGTTCGTAATCATATCATCAATTATAATCATACGACTTCGAAACTTGAATTTTATAGTTTTCTTTGTCCTCTCCTATTTGTCGTCGTTCGGGAAGTAGAATTTTCTATATATCTGAGACAGGTGTTGAATCATTCCTACTACACGTGTTCTCTCTCAGTTGATTTGATAAACAAAGCTTCTGTTATCAATCTCTCCCTCCACCCTGTGACATTAGATTTTAAAGCTGTCATGCTATTCCATCCTATTGTATGGTTGTGTGTAACTGCATGTAATGAGTGGTATAGCTGAACTATTCTCTACATTTCTTACCTTATTCGGGTCAACTAATCTAGATTTTGCTAGGTTTTTGTGCTCGACCAGTCTAACTGCACCTATTCTACCACTTCGACCTATATGTTTGACCTGACAATCATTCTAGCAAAGTATTAGGTTAACTAAAATGTTTTGTTTTAAAGGCTCTACAATATCCATTAACGGACAAAGCTTGTTTCCAATTGAGTTTATATGTAATTGAATGCCAGCCACTTTTATTCCTGCCTTGTTAAGAATTCTGCGTAAGGCTTCCGAGGTTCCTTCCTCGTATGGAATTACTAATGGTGATTCAGATTCCTTATTGTTAGTTTTGTCTTGCGCATATTTGACATGCATGTAGTCATTATTATTATTATCCCTATCACTACTATCATTATTTTTACATTTCCCTATATATTTTCTGACTAATTTATCCGGGTAATTATTAAGTTCCAAGGCTTCTTCACTTCCTGTCTTAGATTTTCCTAGGTACTATCATTTAAATATTTCACCAATCCTATTTTTACTGACATAGATTGGGTGGGATTATCGGAAGTCCAAATATCTGTTCGATTGTGTGGGTTTTCTGTAAACACTAGTGTTTAACTCCCCATCTTCTTTCCTTTCTACGTTGCAATCTAACATTGGAAGCTCCCCTTCCTGAGTTTCCAATTCATAAGTGAATTAAATTGCCTCTACCTTCGAGTTGATGTGTTCGAAAAATTTATCTATATCTTGTGTTCTGAGTACAGTGAATGTGTCATCTACATACCTCCACCATACTTTTGGGGTGGGGCTGAATGTTTCAATCGCTGTCTTTTTCCACCTATCCATGAATATATCTGCTATATTGGTGATCTCACGGCAACTCCCTCAGTTTGTTTGTATACTTTCCTTTTGGAATTTATATACTGTGGAAGTCAGGCATAGCTTCACTCCCAGCATTACATCCTCAAGTGGCACTTTCGTCCTAAGTTCCAGTTCTTGGTATGAAATGAGTTCATATTCAGACGCCGAACCCGTCGCTTTCTATTTACGTTCACCTCAACCACCTGAAGTGTGATATCACGTGAATGCCTATTTGTTGGTTAGACAGTAATTTGTTGTCTCGTTCTCTGACAGACAGAGTTCCTTCTTATTTGTTCATTCTTCCTGCTCGATTAATCTTGTCTTCAGTATCGAGACAGTGAAAGGCGAAAATGTTAATGACAGTCTGCTGCAGACTGTTAGAAAAGATCTGTTCCAGACTTAATTAGGAGTTCAAACAACCAAAAGTTTTACGCTGTTTAACAAACCAAATCTGAAATGAAATGTTTTTTCTCTTCAGAGAATGGATATTCGTATACACCCAAATATATAAGAAAGATTGTATTCATGAAAAACAAGAAGTAAAATAGAGTCACCAGAATGATAACAGTTTTACACAGAAAGCAAACCTCCACACACACTCCTCACCGAAACAAACCAGCAAACAATGGTTCACATCACTACACTATATTCCCTCCTACAGAAATAACAACAAAACAAAATCTACAGCATGCGAATTTTGTTTTTAAAACTAACTTTGCGTTTTATGCTGGCATTCTTCTTTAGCAGAGAAATAAAATGTTTAGATTAAAAGAAAGAAAAATTAGGACAATAACTGAAACAGTATTGTTTTGCAAACAGACAACTTTTAGTGAAGTAAAGCTCACTTTTATACATTTGCTTTCCTTGATAAATTTCGATAGTGAAAGAAAGACCAGATTTGCAGTATAAAATGACGCCATCATCATTCTATTTCACAGGTTCTCATTAGATACAGACTATCTGAAATTATAATGGTTATATGGATGATGATAACACTATTGTAATTTCAGGTAGTCTGCAGCTAATGAGAACCTGTGCAATAGAATGACGATATCATTTTATACTGCAAATCTGGTCTTTCTTTCTCTATCGAAAGCTCACTTTGTCCCTATTTTGAAAATACATAGGTCAAATAGATATTCATTTATTTCTTAGATTCTGAGCAGGATATAAGGCTTCAGTAATGGTGGTATTGTTTTTACGGAGCGAGTTTACTATCCTCACGCTCAATCTTCCCTCTTCTTCAGAATTATTATAGACTGATACACTATGAGAGGTTTATGAGTGTCAGCTCATGATTAAATCCTCCATGCAATCAAACAAAATATTCCAACAAAACCAATACTTGAAAGTTTATGAGTGTGTCAGTCGGGAATTGAACCCACGACACGTGCATGATTGGTCAGCATTCTCCCGTTGAACCAGTAACTTAAATAACTGGATAACCAACTTACTTTATACTTCAAAATCATTTCGAATAAAAGTTGCACAATATAAGCTATAACCTATTGAAACATGAACGGCGAAGTCGGTATCATGTATGTCCCTAAAAAGACAAAGACAGGACCAGGTAGTCAGTCATCCTTCTATGAGTGAAAGCCGACGATACTATGTGGTTGCTCAGGCTGAAGGGTGGGGTTTAGAAGTTAGTTATTCAAAACAAATCTTTCAAGTACCAGGTTAAGAACCACAATTATTGTAAGGACAGGTGATAGTACTTAAGTGCCTAGACTGAGGCAGATTGACCGGCTTAAGACTCAACAGGCCACATGTCTACTGATCAAGAAAACTGGTAAATTATAGCTGCCATTTGCACCTATGCAATATCATGAGTCATCTTGCTAAAAAGATCGAGCTAAAAATAAATAATGCAAATGTCAATCATGTGTTTAAACATATATATATATATATATATATATATATATATATATATATATATATATATCGAGTCAATAATGAGTACAAAAGTCACTAAATAATCAGTTAATTCTTACTAATTATTCAGTCCAATGCATATGCATTCATGCAACTTGGTTTTCTGCTGCAGAAAAAAGAGAACAGATGGTCAGCTGACATACTGTCTACCAGTATGTATAAGTTTTGAAAAACCATCTGTACTATTGAAGATTACTTCTGTAATATCGATTAGTTTGATAGCCTTACCAAGATATAATTTAATAATTCCCATTGTAGCATTAAGAACACAATTTTCAGCGAAGAGACTCTTTTCAACGAATTTATTATCAAGCTGTACAATCGTATATATATGGTTTTATAAAGAAATTATATCCGGTGAGGGAATTAGGTCAAAGGTGTAAATACATGAAATAATAATAGTATGAAATAAATTTAAAATATTTGTGATTAGGTTCATAGTTTAAGTCAAGTGGAACAATAATTAATGTCATATATAAGATAATACATCAGGTGTATAGATTTTGGGGAGAGGCATATAATTGTAAGATTAATAGACGAATGTAAAATGTTACGTAACATGGTGTGAAATTTGATAACATAGAATTTAATATTGTAAAAATAAAGATAAAAAGTATACACATGAATAATTTTTGGTTTAAAATGTCAAGTAGATCAAGTGGAAAAGATTCAGAATGAGAGTCGTAATAATAATAATAATGATAATAATAATAATAATCGAAGTAATAAGGGAAAAGTACATAGAATAATAAAATAAATAAATGTCTATCCCTCTACGGCCAAGGCAGCAGTAGGGATTGTACATACTTCTTTTGTACACAAAGGTCTGGCTTAAAGTCATGAATTGCCAAGGCCTCAGCTGTCTTTAGAAGTCTGTAACGAAGAAAACGCGGGAAGTTGGCATGAATTCTGTATATGACCTTGAAATCATGGTCAGGGTTGACCGAGTGACAGGAGTCGATGAGGTGTTCTAAGATAGAGCTTCGCACACATTTCCTTTCTCCTTTGTAAAACCAAGCTGGAATATGTTCTCGTATCCGTGTGGAGAGCATTCTCTGACTACGGCCAATGTACCTTGCTCCACAAGAGCAGGTGAACTGGTAGATGCACATGGAGGCGGTCAGACGGGGGAGCTTATCTTTTACAGAGGTAGAGAACAGTTTGCGGCTCGTGAACGTCATATGTAATCTAGCTGCAGGGAACGTTTTACTTACTGATTTAGAAAGACGATTTTTGAGCATATCAGAAGCTTGATCTCCTTTGAATTCCAAGTTCACGAATAGGGTTTTCTTTGGAACTGAGTCAGTGACCAGTTTAGACTGCTTCTCTTTCATGTTTCTATCAATAAATCGGTTAGGGTAACCGTTTTCTGCGAGTGTGGCTTTCAGGAAGTCAAGTTCTGAGTCGACGCAATCAGAACTACAAATTTTCCTTATCCTAAAGCAGAGTGAATGGATTAAATTCCTTTTCCTGGAAATAGGCACCCAACTGTAAAAATTAGTTAGTTGTCCGTTCCATGTACGTTTCCGGTGGATCGATCTCTTGAGAGATCCGTCATTCCGTCTGCTAAGGCACACATCAAGAAACGGAATACTTAGTTCCGATTCCTTTATGAATTGTAATTGGAATAAGTATTCCGTTTCTTGATGTGTGCCTTAGCAGACGGAATGACGGATCTCTCAAGAGATCGATCCACCGGAAACGTACATGGAACGGACAACTAACTAATTTTTACAGTTGGGTGCCTATTTCCAGGAAAAGGAATTTAATCCATTCACTCTGCTTTAGGATAAGGAAAATTTGTAGTTCTGATTGCGTCGACTCAGAACTTGACTTCCTGAAAGTCACACTCGCAGAAAACGGTTACCCTAACCGATTTATTGATAGAAACATGAAAGAGAAGCAGTCTAAACTGGTCACTGACTCAGTTCCAAAGAAAACCCTATTCGTGAACTTGGAATTCAAAGGAGATCAAGCTTCTGATATGCTCAAAAATCGTCTTTCTAAATCAGTAAGTAAAACGTTCCCTGCAGCTAGATTACATATGACGTTCACGAGCCGCAAACTGTTCTCTACCTCTGTAAAAGATAAGCTCCCCCGTCTGACCGCCTCCATGTGCATCTACCAGTTCACCTGCTCTTGTGGAGCAAGGTACATTGGCCGTAGTCAGAGAATGCTCTCCACACGGATACGAGAACATATTCCAGCTTGGTTTTACAAAGGAGAAAGGAAATGTGTGCGAAGCTCTATCTTAGAACACCTCATCGACTCCTGTCACTCGGTCAACCCTGACCATGATTTCAAGGTCATATACAGAATTCATGCCAACTTCCCGCGTTTTCTTCGTTACAGACTTCTAAAGACAGCTGAGGCCTTGGCAATTCATGACTTTAAGCCAGACCTTTGTGTACAAAAGAAGTATGTACAATCCCTACTGCTGCCTTGGCCGTAGAGGGATAGACATTTATTTATTTTATTATTCTATGTACTTTTCCCTTATTACTTCGATTATTATTATTATTATCATTATTATTATTATTACGACTCTCATTCTGAATCTTTTCCACTTGATCTACTTGACATTTTAAACCAAAAATTATTCATGTGTATACTTTTTATCTTTATTTTTACAATATTAAATTCTATGTTATCAAATTTCACACCATGTTACGTAACATTTTACATTCGTCTATTAATCTTACAATTATATGCCTCTCCCCAAAATCTATACACCTGATGTATTATCTTATATATGACATTAATTATTGTTCCACTTGACTTAAACTATGAACCTAATCACAAATATTTTAAATTTATTTCATACTATTATTATTTCATGTATTTACACCTTTGACCTAATTCCCTCACCGGATATAATTTCTTTATAAAACCATATATATACGATTGTACAGCTTGATAATAAATTCGTTACCAAGATATGTAAATACCTACTTGCTGATTAAAAACTGTTCTTCTGAAAACTACAGTATTCAGAAGAATCCTTAAAATGCTCCTGCTGGTAAACAGTATCGTCTCAACTGCAGCTGGTAGCACGGACGGAGATGTAAAAGTCATCCAACCACGAATGAATCCCGAAAGTAAGATGGGCCTCATTTACTCCAAAATCAGTGTGAAGATCCACAACGATTAGCACAAGGAACTAGATACGAATCATCAACAATGTTAATCCAGTGGGTGCTTCTACACCACTAAGAGACTTTACGTGTGCTTCACCAAAAGCAATGCAAATGGAATGCAGATTTTTATCAACAGTAGCCTCGATACTACAGATTAGGCGGCTAGAAAGAATGTATAAGGTAACATGGGACTGCGACCATATCAATCAAAAACTATTGCCAGAAACATAGACGAAAGATAATAGAGATGAATTGGATATATTCTAAGGAGGATTTTCAGTAACATTACACGCCGGGTTGTCAAGTGGAATCCAAATGGGAAGCGATGGCTTGACCAGCTGAGGAGAGGACTACGTAAACAGGAAGTAGGAAAGCTTGTGGGCAGTCCTGAAGCCAGCTGGAAGTGATTATGGAGAACAGAGTGTGCGATCCGGAAAACACCAAACGAATAATACTGGCTAATAAAAATATTTCATTGAGCTAAAAAGTCAATAACTGGCATAAAACTCAGCACATTAAGTGTACCAAGTGGAAACATAACAGAAACTTTACAAGATGGATTTAGTGTGTAGACTTTGAAACGACTAGACAAGACATGCAACTACTTAAGTGCTTAACCACACACCTAGGCACAAAAAGAGATTCACTTAATGAACCTGAACGGAGTGAGCAATCAGTACTGAGAAAATAAGAAATCCTAACTCTTGATTTTGTAAATTATTTTCTGTTGAATACAAAAACCAATTGATATGTCATTGAAAGAAGTCGTCAGAATATGTTTGTTAATTCAGAAAGTGCAAGTGAAAAAAACCAGATTTTGAAAATGATGTGACTAGCATGTGATAGCTGCCTTTTTTCATTTCTTTGGTTTCGAGTGTCGCAGAAATGACAAGGTCGCTTATTAGTGAATGGGGCTTCTGATCTTACCAGCAACGTTTCCTCTTCTTTCAGCTCAGTCAGCTAGTGAACTAGGCAAAGTTAAATAGTGCGTCGCTCAGGCATCGAACACAGTCCTCCCATGTGGTGTCCGGCGAACCTTTGAACCACTAAAGCATTAAAATTTACATAGGATATTCTGAATTCATCGTTTTAATAGTTATCAGTTAACGACAAAGTGGTTCCGAAAAAAGATAACTTCTCAAGTTTTTGAAAGACACCTTAAAACACAGAGAGTATTTTCACACTTGACATTTGAATTAAAAAACCCAGTATGTATTCTATATTCATTCCGCTTTGCTAAGCATGTGAAATGCAACCCAAGCAACTACTGTTTTCCAGGTATTTAACTTCATTAGGAAATACATCTTACGAATAAAAAACTTTTTAAACTTATTATTGCTAGAAAAACATATGCTACATTATGGACGCCAAGACACAAACAAAAAAATGGGAAAAATACATTCTCCTAGGACGTGCTTGAGCTCAGTTACCCGGAGCAGACTTTGCATGCAGCAGACTATGAGCTGATGATACTACCCAGTTGTCAAGGTGGAAGTAGGTGGAGCGGGAATCTTCAAATTGCACAGTTCGGGGTAAAATTTCACCAGTTTCTTTTGGAAACCAAAAACACTCAGATCGCATATTGTGATCTGCTTCATACTATGAATGATGATCAAGGAAGCAAACAAAAATGCATGAAAGCAGAAACTATTGCAGGAAATTGTGGTGAAACGACCTCGAAAAGTGTAATTTCTAAATGGCGGATTTTATTCTATGAATTTTAATCCAATAATAATAATCAGCTTTACAAGTATACTGATGCTATTAATCTTTTCTAGTAACCTGAAAAGTGTTTCACCCCATGAACTTACCTTATCTCCGAAAATCGGTGTGCTCGACTGTAACCTGTCACCAGCATATTGTACTTTCCTCCAATTAATGTGAATAATATCTTGTTGAACCGCACACTAGATAGAAGAGATTTCAAAGAACATAATTCTTAGACACTTTTCGTAGCAGAATGATACATGACACTAATTTCACCCTAATATTTTATATTTTATTTCTTTACGTTGCCAGTGGGAACATACGGATTCAAGTTATAGCCTTAAAGTTTCCGTAGCAGCGGTTTTATTTTTACGAGGTGGGGTTGCTGGCCTAACGCTCAACCATCCCTCTTTACTGGCCTTACTACCGACTTAGAAAGAGGTTTAAGTTACTTTAAGAATGCTGATAACTCAATTTCGCAGAAACGAACGCTATTTAATGTATTGTTTGTTTTTGCTCAGGTTAGTAGAATAAATTCTAATTAGCAGTCAGCACTAGGTCATTGATGTATGTTGATGACCATACAGAGACCTATCTGTTCCCAAAAAACACCAGTCATGATAATTTAGTCTTTTGGTTTTAAATGCACTCTGATCAGGAGTTGACCGAATAGTTCCAGGAACACTGGACATCGACTGAGTAGGAATACAGAAAAATTAAACAAGCATAAACCTCAGAGTGGTTTGTTTTTCCACTTCCACACTCAACTCTGTAGAAAAATGTTTAGCCTCTATGTATTTGCAGGGTAAAACGTACAGTATTGCGGAAGGGATTAAACGAGGATGAAATATAATACTAGTGACCACTCTCCTCATATTCCCTATTTACCTCACTTTTACAAAGGATTAAAGTCCAGCTTTTCCACAGATCACACGTCTTCACTCATTTTTCCCTACTTTCTGAAACGGACATAGCGCACATTTTTCCAAAATGTGCTATCTTCATGCAAAAATTCTTTAAATGGAAGACCACTTTGATTAGTTCTAATTATGATTGATCGTAGACATTTAAAACAAAATTACGCTAACGAATGTTCATACTTTGACATTACTCGTTTCTAAGTCGATAAAGCCTTTAGGATAACCTAAATAAAAATTTTGGGAGAAATTTCGAGATGTTTTGGGGAGAACTTTGAAATTTCCCCGAAATTTTGTTTAGGAACCTGAGGGAAATATTCAGTAAATATCTTAGTGCCAGAAACATTCTTATTTAGGATTTATTTTTTATTTAAAATTATCTAAGATTATTCAAAAGCCCCGAAAGTAACATAGACACTGTACCACAGCACTCAGCTTTCGGGACTCAATTTCATAGTGTTCGTAGTAAAGCGGGTTTTCCGCCCCGTAATGACAATATTCACTTATCGACTTTTGTTGATTGGGGTAATGTATAGACGGCAAAGTTAAACTGTCACAACCAAAATCGCAGTGACCTCGGACAGCTTATCAGAATTCATATACAAACAAATTCGCGAAACCTTAGCAAAATCCACTAAAAACCACTGAAAACACGATAACGTGCTGTAGAGTTGTGGCTTTTGTGCTGTAAGTTGCAGTCAATACACAGATAATCTATAGAAAAATCGTACTATGAGCGATATACCCATCCATCCTGGTGACCGTAGGCAGTAGTACTTTAAGATGCATCGGTATTTCTGACACTTTTCTTCAGGCCAGCTCTTAACTCTAACCATAATCCTAACTTCTGACTCTAAATTTAAACCTTATCCTACACTTAACCCTAGACTCCAAACCTTAATCTTTAAAATCTAGTATGAGTGGAATGCTGTATCTATCATTTCTGAAAGGCAGGCACAACTTGATTCGGAATGATGTTTTATAGCATCCCCTGTGTCTTATTGGTTCTTGAAGGTCAACCTTTGAACGAACTTGACTTTGGCGATGATACCTAAACTTTGCCAAAACCTACTTACATACACAACACTCATGTTATGAGTCTGTTACAGAAGTTATAGAGGCATAAGAAAAAAAGTAGCGTACTTGCAAGGCAATTAAAGTCCCGCCTAAGAGAAGTGCAGCCGCCCTCCCAATTTTCGCGAAGATGTAACCTGCAACTCTAGGGGGCAAAAAGTCAACTTTTTAGTACACGTACAGTCCTGAGCTCACTCCCATGAGAACTTGTTGACGATGTGGGCGACTTTTAATACTGTTAAGAGTATCCTGGACCGCAACAATGGCCCGCTCACCATCCTCAGCCCTCATTGTAGTAACGCAAATGTTTGGACTGAGCGCAACGGAATTATCAAATATCCAATACCACTTTATAACGCGGTATTCTAAACCAAACTGATTTATCTTTGCTCGAACCTTGGTTACAACGCGAAGGTTCTCTATTTTTAGTATGTCCTTCCACGTGACTGCATAGATTTGGTTGACTCCAAGGGAAGTGGTGTGGGGATGGGTTAAGTGTGGTTTACAGTAAGCGTATCGCTGCGATGAATGTAGAGGGACCTTTTACCCGTCTTCCAGAGTGGTCGAAAACATAGCTGAATCGAGTAAGTCCGTGATGACTTAATGCACGAATACCTTTCTTTACGGGATAAGCGCTCATCATAATATTGCAGTCGCCCCTAAGCCGACCGCAGCGAAGTAAGCGGAGTTCTAATTTCCTTACCCTTCCATAATAGCGTTTATCCTGGAGACGCATCATGCGTTTTGTCAGTCATATTTTAACGTCTTCTAAAAGGTTTGGCATACCTCAAAAGTAACAGGTGAGCACTGTAATTGTGCACTTCCAAGCGCGTACGTGTGTTTTATAGTCTTAGAAAAAGAGCAAAAGTAAGATCATCAGGATGTCTGCATGTGAAGTGCGTGTCGTCACACACCACTTCAGTCGTATGTTTTACGACTGTATCCAGCTTATAAGTCAGAAGGAGACCTTAGTCGCTTTGTCACACTACACAAAAAGGTTATCGTCAAATCGGTGTGTAGTTGCACCACTAGGCGTGTTCTAGATTGAAAGTCATGCCGTTCGCTAGTCTCTAGTCTTCCAGAATTTTCATATCTTCCTGCAACCTGCGTCTTCCAAGTAATATGTTGGACTCTAAATACTTACGTCGTCGAGGTGAAGAAGAGTGTAGCGGTAGGTGACAACGATAATGATAACAAGAAGACACGTTACAAAAACACACAGAAGGATAGCCATGCTAACAATAAAGTGCTTGAAACGCCAGAGCTGCTTCCACACAAAAAAGGGACTTCTGAAACCTCACGTAGAGTTCTTGACAGAGCAGGAATAAAAGGGACGTTCAAACCAACAAAACGAAATATTTTACACTGGCTAAAGGATCCTAGGTAGCACATAAAACTAAGTAATTTGGTTTATCAGTTACCCTGCAGCGATTGCGAGTTAAGACAGATGGGCCGAGGGGGCAGAGTGGGGCACTCAGAGTAGTGAAGCACGAACATTCAGCAAAACCTGGACTAAGTTACCCCACCAAATAAGAAGTCATGAAAGCGTCTCGTCTGTAGTTTGCCGCGAGGTCATGATGCATGTTGTTAGCATTAAATGGCGAGACTTCAGTATAGAAACTTGAAGAAAGACAAAAGGATCGTCATAACTAAAGCTGACAGGGGAAACGTCACTGTGATAATGAATAGGATTGATTATGAAAAGAAAGTGATCTAACATCTATCCAAAGGAATATTGAAGAAAAGAAGAAATTTGCCTAATTAAACGAAATAAAACTAATTAAGGACTTCTTCAAGAAATGAAACGCAAAATTAGAAAATCTCTTGTTTAAACTAAAACCGAAATCTGATGTACCTTCAAGATTCTACAGTCAACCAAAGATACACAAACCCACAGTTCCATGGCTGTAAGATTGGTGTGTCCTGTATGGAGAGGAATAAATATGTATCATATTATTATAATGTTAAGACAGGTAGTAGATTTTACCAACTCACCGACATACAACCTCTCCAAATAATTACCGTATTACAACGTCAGTGCAAGGGTGACATGGAGGAGATCGTGTGAAGAGGAGTTGAAGGAATATGGACTAACATGGATGCAGGCGAAAAGTACAGCAGAAGACAGAAGCAAGTGGAGACGTGCAGTTGAAGCCCTATGTTCCACTAGGAACCCAAGGGAGCAATAATAATATTCTATTATAACTAACTACTGTCTCTTAACTACACTGTGAGTCCTAAGTATTAACGGTTTGTATTTTACTGTTATGCTATTATAACACTCTGTAGTCGTATTCTTCTGAACTATCTATTATGACTGACTACTGTCAGTTTTTATGCAGATACATACATAAATATGCAGCTTTATTTATTTTTGTCCTTCGCAACATTTCATATTGGCTCATCGTGGCTGTGCTTATAACTAAAATCTTGAAAGTAGCCTGCAAATCTCTGATTCCATTACTTTTTTTATCGTACGTAAACATTTTTAAAATGCTGCTAGTGACGATGCATACAAAATGGCTGACTGAAAGTAGTCGTTCATACCATGAGTATTGTTGAGTTAGCTTGTGAATGCGAAAACTGTCCATATGACACGTAGCAATAATAAAAGATTTTTTCTAAAAACAAAAGGAGTATTTCGCCAGGGCCTAGCAGATTCAAAGGTGGGAGGGTGGTGACGGCTATTCAGCGGATATGATGGTGGGGACTTAAGAGAACCCCGCTTATCTGTGGGAATGCGCTCTACTGCTAAGGCTCCTGAGGATGAATTACTTCAAAAAAAATAAAAAATAAGAGCTGCCTGCATGTCACAGCTTTTGTACAAACTCTGAAAAAATGGCTCATGGTACGATTTTTCTACTTCAGGAGGACATCTAACTTTATGAATCAGAACAACAGCATAAATCAGCTATACTGTACTTCCTCTTTTCTTCTAAATACCTTATGTGTTTTGGCATTTGGATATCACTTCTTCAGTTTCTATTCCCAACATTACCCTATATAAGAGTGAAAACCATAATTCGTTTCGCCCTAATTTTTACTTTTTTTATTTTTATCCTATACTTCAGTTGTTGTTTACTACTATAAACTTAAACTAACCGTTAGTATGTAACACTATAAAACTCAATGACTAGAAATTCCTAGTAATAAATAAGGAGAATAAACCCTACGGTTATCGCATATTGTTTGCTTAAATTATTATTATCTGCTGGCTGCCTCTGTCTCCTTCTGTCTTCTTCGCATCTCGGAGGTATTGCATTGAAGCACTGCAAATGAACAGTAATTCTGCTTTCTACATCTGTATTACTTGAGCGGTATCCAGAATATTGTTAGCACTTACGATGAACAACACAACAAATTCCATTCTGAATTCTGTTCAACAGCGCAAAGTTAACTTTGCAACAAATTGGTCCCTTGTATCTGCTAATACCAATATAATGCTGTACTTACCACCTAATAAGGATTTTTATAAACTTTCGAACCATTATTGATTGATAAAATGATAATAACGGTCTGCATCCAGTGTGTCTTACTCTAGCACCTGTACATCACCTCTCTTCTTACCTTCCATTAACGCAAAATTTCGTCATTCCCGCATGAATCTGACTCACTATTGGTAAATTAAATATTATAATTTAGACTTAAACCAAAGTCTTATATTCTATTCTTATAAAGTTTCTAGAGGTCATTTTCCAATTTTTAATGTCATAAAACAGTGTTCAATTTCAGACTGCACTCGTCTAAAATGATTATGCCTGCACAAACGGTATGTGAATCATGCAAAAGCTTAATTTATGCGAAATATATTATATTAACTTATTTCTACTCATCAAAGTCATTAAGAAACATTGTCACAGTAAATGATCCACAACGTAGGCAAATATCAAATCATACCAGCTACCCGCAGAAAATGAATTAGGACAAACTTTTCCCCATTAAATATTGTAACTACAAATTGTAGTTAGGTCTCGCGAAAACCCGCATGAGTTCAAACACAGCCTAGAAAGACATATTAACATGTCCTACCTAGCTCGTCTGAAAGACCAAAACTGTTGGCAGAATGGTAGATGAAAGTCAGTCCAGTTTTCAGTGTAGTTACTTACGTACAAGTCGACTCTACTACTTACGCAGCGAACGTTTACCTAATTTACTGATTTTCTATTCTCTATGATCTTCAATAAGTTGTATTGGCACGAGTAACTCTAGAAACAATTATATTAGCAATCACACCTTTTAACATTTCACATACATATTTACAGTCAATAACACACTGCTATCCTTTGTGTCGAAATGACTTTACTCAGTCAATGACTACTTTTTCTCACATACTTTTCTAAAATGTACAGTTTTATAGCATTTCGCAGTATTTTTCTTATACATGAAGAAATTTGATGGGTTACTTTGCAATGTCTAACGCATACCGTTTGGAAATCGGTCATGAAAATTTAGCATAACTAGCTCTGTCAACCAGCTGTTTTCTTCAAGACTGCTCTGCATAGTTTTATCACTAACCGTTCCACTACACATTTCATTCTGCTAAATAGACTATAACTTAGTTGCTGTAATACTAGCTACTTCTATGCTTTAAACTTCTCATAGTAAACTCAATTTCCTAGTCGTTTGTAACAAATACTTGTGTAGATGTATGCATGCATAAAGGTGACACTGCTATGAATGTCCTCAGTTGTCGATGCATCTGGTGACCCAACGGGAAGCGCTTGTCATGAAAGCTAATAATGTACAGCATGATAGGGACGGGCTCAAAGCAATGCAATGCTGCAGCTACAGTTACTGACAAAAAATCTCCGAGCTTAACATCAAAAAGGAGGGAGGTTGGCGCATGCTGATAAGCAGGTGTGGTGGTGGTCACAAATGTCACTGGCTTCAATTTGTAGGATAGCAAAATGCATTTTTTGACGGCTCGAGAATTGAACATCAGTCTGGAACCTCAACAAAAAATAATAATGGTTGTACAGATCTAAATTATAAATAAAAATGTGCTTTCGCTCCTACCATCTACAAGCCTGTTCAGCTTCTTGTCAAGATGCTATCCCAGGGGCTCTACAGGAAATCGTGAGACGTCTTGCAGGTCATCTTGTCCCATGGTTTCTAAATTTCCAGATCTTTGAATTCACACCTCAATGAAATATCACTTACGTATCTTACAATAATCTTTATATTTGCGCACTGTTATACTCTACTTTATTATAACTACCTAGGTCATTGAAAGGATTATATTCGTAAAATCCCAGTGATATTAAAATGAGTAATTCCAACGTTTCGTTCGG